TGCCTCCAAGCCTTGGGAAGTCTAGCAACAACACAGAGAACGTGCAATAATGGTTTGGAATTTATTTTAAAAAAAGTGAAGTGACAAAACAAAGTAGAAGAGATAAGGGTAGGAACAGTCAGGATAGATCTGCACTGTGATTGAAAGTAGCTGGCAATAAACTACCTGTTTCTTGCAAGGGAGTTAAGCAGGGTAGTAATTTTAATTTAACCCCTTCTCCACAGGCAGCAGCACATGATTATTACCACCACCCATTTCCATCAGCTATGTTATTTTACTTTTCTAGTGTTTAAGCACTGCTTTTAAGCTGTTGTGTTATTTTTTAACTTTGGCTGAATCTGTGCATGGATGCATATAGCAGTGTCAGCATGCTAAGATCATAACTGTTAGATTAATGAATGCAAGTATTAGGTCTCTGCTGCTACAGTACATTAATAGCTGTGCAGGTTCAATCAAATGTGCCACTCGATTTTGTCATTGTATAATGCTATTTGCCAGATCTTAGGCTGCTGAGGAAGATTAATGCAATCTTTCTTTTTCATCTGACTCAAAAATAAGGTAACAAAACAATTTTCATAGGATGTTTTATTATTATTTGTTGCAGCAAGAGAACAGACGTACCTGTACACTTGAATTCTTCACTAAAATTCAATATGTGTATATGAGAGACGCAGCAGTGAATGAAAGGAAAAACTGTTGCAGCCATTGTCTTATGTGAAGCTAAATCTCACATTCTGAATTATTGGAATGAATACCAAAAAGAACAAAAAGTAAATAAAAAAGTATGTTTATTCCTTCTTTTCTTTTCTTTTTCCTTTACAGACCCTGAAGAAAGTGTTTGTAGAATTTAGCCATCAGGAGCTGTTTGAGTTCTACAACAAGGTCTGTGGATTTTATAATACTGTAGTTTTTTTGTAAACACCTTATGCTGCTCTGCAGGAAGTCTTGGCTATCTGAATTAAATCTAATGAAACGGGAAGGAAAATGGATCCAACTATAATTAGTGCTGATTGATTTGCTTGATCACATAATGCATTTTCAAGAAGAGTGTTCCAGTTTGAATAAATTTGAAATAGGTAGGGCTTGGGTCATTGTAAGCCTACCTGGCAGTTAGATTCAGAGAAGTAGCTGCTCATTAACAATGAGAAGCTCTCTGGAAAGAGCATCTTTGTGTTACATATTCAGATAAAATGCCAGGCTCATAATCCAGTGAAAATCAAATCTATTATTTTTTTTACCTTGTTATTATGCATTGGAAATTCACAGCAAAACATCTGTGCATGTAAAAAGTCAGTATTTAGACAACTGTTTCTTTAAAATTTGAATATTTAAACTGCAGCAATGAATTCTAATAGCTTTATGCAAAAGCAAATATTCATGAATTGTTTATTGCTGTGTGAATAGTTGCAGGATGCATAGTTGAAGATAATGAAATGTGGGGGTTTTTTCTGTTTGCATGTTTCTAAACAACATTTTATATGAGTGGAGTTTTTTCTCTCTTTTTTTTTTTTTTCCTGTAAATAGCTGGAAACTATACAAGCACAGCTGGATTCCCTTACATGATGTTTTTGAAGACTAATTTCTCCATCACACTCTTGCCACTTCATTATTTTGAATTGAAGATAGATTGCCAAGCTGTGTTTGCTGAAGGATTCCGTGGGTTGCTTCCTGTAAAATTATATGGCTTATCTCCTTTTTCGACCAGTAACATTTACCAGGAGTCTTTGTTACGAGTCTGAAGACTCTAATGGACTTTCTCTTGTTTTCTGAGCAATTGTGAAGAATGTCGGCGCTACTTGCAGAAAAAAAAAAAGCTACTCTAGTTCAGAGATGGGGTTTTTTTGTCCTATTCTGTGTTTTACTTGTTTCTGGTAGAAATTTTCATACTAGGAATAAAATCTATTTTTAAGAAGTAAAAAGAATATCAAAGTTGTAAGAAAATATTAAGCTAAATACAATCTCTATCCTTTTGAATTGTTATTCATATGATTGATAAAGCTTATTGGAAATTTGACAAAATAAATTCAGTATTTAAAAATCGATTGGTTTAGCTTGGACTATTTTAACGTAATTCTTTGTGTTCTTTTTTGGGTCTTTTGTTGTTGTTGTTCTAAATAATTTTAAATGTTGCTGATTTCAGTCTTTACTTTTGGCACTGAAAAATAATACATCTTCTTAGCACGACATGCATGTCAATGCATATAAGTAGTGTGTTCTATAACTAGGGGGAGAAATCTCAGAGTATATCAGGAAGGACACTGAAACAGTCTGCCAGTCAGATTTCTGAAAGCTCTTTGTTGATCCTTCCTCATGTTGTCTGCCACTGTTTTTACATCTTACAGGAATAAATAAAGTACAGTGACTTAAAGGCCAAGTTAGTAGTATTTTCATACATTAGTTCCAGATAAACAGAGGTTCATGACCAGTATGAGAAGGTAAAAGTCATTTTAGTTGTTTGTTGCCAATCATTGATGGGCAACCTCACTTCTCCACCTTTACAATAGGCACAGGGTACAACTCTCCAGTCCAAGAGGTATGGAGGTGAGCAGAAATTAAATCTTTGGCATTAGCTTGTCTTTATTCCTCCTTAGGGATTATCTGAGCACGGTTATTTTTTTCTTCCAGATGCCTAAACCTGACATGATTAATACCCAAGCAGCCAGTTTTCTTTTGGGCTTTGTTCCCTCCCGACAATAGATACCAGTATAGTCAAAAGGTGTGTTTTGAATACCTGGGGTTTAGGTCTTCTTGTGCCAGATTTCCTGCTTTGTTGGTTTTGGAGAGTTGTTTTGGGCTTTTTGTGTTGCTTTACAACAGATTGTGCTTCTAGAACACTGAAGGGGTTTGCACCAGTTATCTAAGCTGTGAGACAGCAGATTTAAAAGATTAAGTCATTAACAGCCTATATGTGACTAAAGGGCACTGAATAGAATACTGTACCTTATAGGGAACACTATTACCCTGTTGGAAAGAAGAAATGAATCACAATTGCACAGCAGAATCTTACCCTGTACACCTTGTGAGGCTAGCTGCCAAAATCAAGTCTTATCTCAAGCCACTGGCAAACGTGCATTATCTTGGGATGTAACAATCCCACCCACCAACATCACATGCTCAGTCTGGCTATTTGGCAGCAGTTTGCTGGCTCGCTCATCTCAGGCTGCATAGGATATGGTGTGTGCAGGCAAGCACATTCCTGCCGTCCTTCTGCCTATCAGTATTGGCAGTGCTGTATAGTTAGCACAGCTAGGAAAATCCCTTTCTTGACATTTAGATCCCGACGCCTCTGTGGGGCTTGTGGGACAGTGTTCTGTGTACTTCTGAGTGTTTTCCCCAAGTTGATAGAGCTGAAGTTCTGCAAGTCAGGTCTGAAGCGCTGAAGACTCTCCTGTGTGGATGCAGGACATGCTAAGGCAGTTGTCTGTGGGAAAGGGATTGTCTTTGTGAACAGAGGCAGTGATTGATGCATCCCGGAGGAGGGGATAAAGGCAGGAGCAGTTTAGAATGCAAGAAGCACAGGGCAATCTACTGGGAACATCTGGAAAAAAAAAAAAAAAAAAGTTAAGTCAAAGACCTCTTCCTACCAAGAGCAGGAAGAAGACAGGTGTGGGGAAAAAAAGGAAGAAGAGTACAGATTATGGATATATTCCCCAGGGTGGAATTTGGGAGTTATGAAGAGAGGAGGAACACTGGATAAGATGACAAAAGTATACATACAAAGAAAATACTAGAAAAAAATGGAAAAACCTGTATATACTAAGGGTATGGGGAGAAAATTGTGGAAACCAAGTAAACCAGAGTTAACTATGAGAAAAGGCCGATTGTGTAACTGTATCTGGTATTTTGAAGTAGCCAGTAAGTGTTGGCCATGGTGCAAATTTGGCCAAAACAAAATAAAATTGTGGGGTAATAAAAAAGAGCTTTTAAATCAAGCTTTTATGGGAAGTATTTCAACAGTGATCAAATAATGTTAAAGGGCAAAATAGATAAAGCAAAGCCCAAGATTGCAAAGATTCTGTAGAATTTATTAAGTGCTCAACCTTGTTTGCAGATGAGTGGAGAGATTTCTTTAGAAGTGGTTGCCTTTTCTTTTTTTTACTAAACATACTGAATTTCTTACTTTCAGAAGGAGTAATAAAAGCCATGGTATACCTCATGATAAGAAGGATAGTTGTTACCTTTTGTCAAGGAGTACTCAGCAACAAATACTTAGTTTATAAACTTTTCTGTATGTAACATGAAGCTTTGAGGTTGGGCATTACTAGGTAGAAATGGCATAGCCAGTACCATCATTTTCACTTACTTAATTGCTCCTGTTTAAGCTGAGAAAATTGCCTGTGAAAGAGCAGAACTATTTTGGTGGGTTTTTCTGTTAAGTCTTGCAGAAAAGAAGGCTTTTATTCTGGTTGCTGCTCTCTAGCTTGAGTGGACTTGGAGAAGGGAAGATTAGTCTTCTGCTGAGAACAGCTGCCCCTGCTTAGTTTGGTTAAAGTCCTGGCATCCATCAGTATCAAGGAACGGGAGGAAAACAGGCACTAGTACAGATTGGAGGGTGTTTGAGGGGAATAGGAGATCTGCCTGCAGTAGGGACTGGACCCAGTGCCATACCTCAGAGTCATTGGAAAGAAAAAAACACTCTCCTGGGAGGAAGAAGGCATTTAGCCTATTCAGAGCTGAGTATACAAGGCTGATGTGGGACATAGGTAGGAATGTGCATGCTGAAGGTCTTCAAGCTTTTTTTTTCCGTTCATGTATAACATAGTTTTGATGAGTGAGTCCTGTGGGCATTTTGGACTACTTACTGCAGAAAAGGAAAGGGATGCATCACAGACTCTCTTCAGTTCTGAGTCCTAGCAAAGCATTGATCTGTAATATATCTTGGGCATGACCCAGAACTGGAATTACCAAAGCTTCTGATAGTATTGAAGAAAGATTCTTGCAGAGTTTTATTGATACTGAGCTCTGAAATTGGAAATTTAAATGAGTAAGAATTACTAATCTACTTTCAGATCTTTCAGTGCATTTTAAAAACATGCTATTCATCTTTGCTCAGAAAAGATGGTATTTTCTGTGACTGTGTGTCTCTCAAAGCTATAAAATAAAAATCTCCCTCAAACGGACCATTGGTGGAAGAAGGAACTATTTCTATTTGTAAGTGAACAAGCACCAGTATTGTTTTGACATGAAGACATGGAGTTCTGGGCCTAAACTGAAAACCAATGTGAGAACTACTTTGAATGTACAAACTTGCTGGTAAAGAGCAACCATTTGTATGTCATTTAGCAAATATAACACTAATAGTACCTTGATGTCTGTTGAGTACAAATGCGTTAGATTCTCTTTTCTCAGTTCAGCCTTAGACATACACTTGTTGTTTCTCCACAAAATACTAAATGTCTGAAAATGTCTGCATTCCACTTTTGTTGAAATACACTATGTCAAATTTTGACCAATCTGCTGAATCTGCTTTGGCTCTCTAGAGGAAGCTTTCAAATTCCCCTTTAATTCCTGGGCTTGTTCAAACATCAATTTTGTATTTACAGCTTCATTTGCTATAGTCTATGATTTTAAAGACTTTTGAAATTTTGGGGTTTTTTCAAAGCATGATTTACTGAAATACTGTCTTATATTGGTCAAAGGAAGAAGAGTATTTGTTGTGATAAAATGCTGTAAGCTCCCCTTCATACTTGTTCCATCTCATATTTTCTGATTTCCAACAATATCAGTACCATTTCATTGTTGAGCCATATTGGCATATCATACCATCAAAGATTATAAATTCACTCACATTATGGTAAAGAAATAGCAGAGTTAATAGTGCCTGTTGCCCAGGGAATAAGTGTCATATGATTTGGTGACCCTTGTATGGCTTATAGGACTGATGAAAACAAACAACCTTTTGAGCCAGTGTGAGAAAGTTCCTTTTCTATGGATCAGCCAGACTGGCTTTCTGAATAACAGTGATTTCATCTATGTGGATGAACTAAGATGCTGCTGTCTGGTATGCTGTTGATGTTGTCTCATAAAAGATAAATTAATAAGGTGCTTTTATCTGCAACTCTTTCATAAGGTGTTTTCTCATTTCCATACTAATGAATCAATTTTATTGGGTTTTCCCTTGGTCTTTGTGTTGATCAGACCAAATTATATGCTGTATTTTTAACTGAAGTAAAGTCTAGATGATCCCTTCATTCCCTCAACATTTGTTTCTCAAAAAATAGGAGGAAATACTGGTCTGTTACAAATCAGATGCTGTCCAGCTGTGTGGAGCTATGTATCTGTGAAGCACTTGTCCCTCTCACTCACAAGATTAGTTCCTTCTCTGCTGAAGCCAAAATATCTTCTATGATTTCCAAGGTTTTCTCTTATATACTGAAATCACAGGAAACCAATCAAATTCCACTTACAATAGAATGCTTTTAATCTCTTGTCATTGCTTTTGTCATTACTATTACCTTAACTGCCCCTCCATGGTGATACATAGCATACATTCAAGGAAATCTGGACAAATACAGTGTGTCTCTGAGACAGCTGTACAGATTCACATGTGCAGGCAGCTGGCCTCTTCTGTGGAGTACTAGTTATGGCATTGGACATGTTGGAGCACCAGATTGTCTTTTTTGGAAATCACTCTCTGATCATTCATGAGAATTGAAGGAACGAGAAGCAGCACTCCCTGGTTAGTGCTAATGTGGTTCCTCTTACCTGCTCTGTGTTGAAAGGTTCATCTCATGAGGGTTACTATGAAGAGCTCTGCCTAAAGCTGAGCTGGCTTTCTTCTCATTCCAATCCACAGATTCCT